TCTTCATTTCTTCTCTGAGGACAGCCTCATCCATTCAGTGGCATGGAGACTTATATTTGTGGCAGCTGTTACTAATTAATCAAAACAACCATGTGATAGGGTCTCAGTTGCCATCCAAGGACCAGGCTATAGTCCCTTAACTCTGAAATGACAGAATTATAGAAATCCCAAACAACATTGACCTCAAAACTCCAGAATATCTCCAGGTGAGGTACTATTACATGCTTCTCAGTCGCTTACCCTACCCTGATGAGTCAAGTTGTTCCCTGTATCTTCAAGCTTTCTTTGTTTAAAGAAACTTTGACCACATGATGTTGACAGTAATTCACAGCACATCATCTGCGACAAGCTCTGCTGTCTTCTGTTCACCTGCCTGTGCATCCTTACAATTTCCCCAAGTCCTTCTGACTGCCTTTCTGGATTTTATGAGACCTGAACAACTCCTCTTTCTGACATTTGTTAACCAGCCTTAGAATTTTTATAGTTGGGACTGTAAGCACCAGTGGAAGACCTAAATAGTTTGACAATAACTCCCAATAAGCTAGCTCATCAATTATTTTAGGAAATTCCCCACATCAAAGTATGGGATTTTCCTTCCTCCTTCCAAATAATTAAAATGAAAAGTTTTCCCCACAGGAACTATATAAACCACTTTGCCTTATTTAGCTGAAGACAGAGTAAATCTAGAACTAACAATTTGCAGTTCTCTTTCTTTGTTTCCACAGAAATAATCAATGATTACACAGTAACAGAAACATTTTGTCCCAATTTCAATAGGCAAAACCACAATTTCTTTCCAATCTCATCATTTTTCTTTCCTCTATTCACGTAACTATCTCGGTGATACAGTGTCTAGACTTTTTGGAACAAGTGATAGAGTATGGAATTTATTATGCGGCTTTAAAAGCAGCTAGTCATGGTTCCTCGGCACTTATACATGAAAATCTACTGCCTTCAGAATATATGGAAATTATCAAGCTTGTTATAAGGAAAAAAGTTATCAATTGATGCTGTCACTTGGAGCTGCTACGAGAGGGGCTGTTGTAGGGATTCACGCATTTCATCTGTCTTTTCCTCATACCAAAAAAGTATCAAATAAGTGATTTGTATTCATAAAAATTGTAATAGATATGGGAGCTTTGGAGAAACATCAGTAAAAGGAATTACATGTAAGCATATACATCCATTCCTGCTATGGTCTCAATAAGTACTCTGGGGGAGTTACCAAGTCAAAAGGGCAGAAAGAATATCACAGGTGCTTCTCTTAGTCCTTTGACATTTGTTAGCTGGATAAAATGAAAGTAGTCTCTCGGGCTCCTGGACAAACATTAGTTTGTGCAGTCTGGATTATTGAGTCTGAGTATAGTCTGTCTGTGCTGTTAAGGAAATCAAACTGTGTGCTGGGAGAGAAACCTCAGTGTTCCTTGTCACCAATAATCTAAACCTCAGAGTTGAGCTTACACAGATCTGTAGCCATTTCTGAAAAGTACTTGTGCCTAATTTTATATAAGAATGTCACTTTCTTGATTTTTGCCCTAGAAAATGCAAGTCTACCACAGAAGAACTTTACTATAAAAGTTTATCCACACATAATGGTCTTAAGGGGCATGAAACTCGACAGTACTGACTGACTTAAAATAATTCTGCCCTTAATTTTTGAACAATTTTCTAAAGATGTGTCTGTTGCATTTTCTGTGGCAAAATAAAAGCAACCAGAAAGATGTTTTCAGTGAGATACACACAAATAACGCATAGAACTGAGCCAGTCTCATTCATCGTATAAAATCTCTATTGGTTCTGCTCTGAACATAAAATTAGGTTCACAGGCAGATAGGGCAGCCCTCCAATAGGAAAATTAGGTATTCTGAGTCAAGGTTAAGATTTTAAAAACTGGGAAAGAAATACAAATAAAAACATCTATCAATGGCTTATTATTCCATATTTTTAAATTGGAATTTCAGAGAAGGCTCATTAATAAAAAGAAGTTGGTGTCTCTATTAAATGGCTATGTTCAGAAGCAAGCTCTTAGGACCTTGTTTTGTAGCTTTAAAGGGAATGAAGTAGATTAAAAATGTGATGAATTACAGGTCAGAAGAACATAGGTTTGTTCCCATTTTATAAGGGTTCAGTTTCTCCATCTGTAAAATGAGTGAACCATCCTATCAGACTCAAAGAGCTGCTCACAAGAGAAGATGAGTATGAATTGTTCCATCAGCAGTTCAGTTTTTGCCATGCTCTACACTTGATTGAATGTTATTGGATGAATTTAAATTTATTTATTCCATTTTATGGAATCCAAACATGGATGAGGTTTTGAATAACCAAGTCATTTAAAGTTTATTTAGCTAAGAAGCATATAATATGTCCTCATTAACTACATAGCTTGGGAAATCTTTAGTTTGGCAGGGAGGTAGTAATAATTAAGTCAATTCCCATGTGAACTAGTGACATGGCCACAGGTCATTTCCTTAATGACTCTAATTTATAGAACTGCCTCCTTAAAAATGCAGACTATAGAGTGCGGTGCATCACAGTAGTCTTCTACAGTGGGGTACCATCTTATGCAAAAACTTCACATGCCAACTTATTAGGCTCAGTTGCAAAGTCTGGAACTACTCACTCTAGAGTGGAAAATAGCAATGGAGATGAGGGATTATCCTCTTACTAGTGTAGAGTAAGTCTTGAAAAGCCAAGACCAAAATGTAGAATACTAGCTAGGACAGTATCAATTCTGTACTTGAATATATTTTTAGTTAGTGGAAAAATATATGCCCACTTGTTACAAATCTGCTAAGATTTTTGAGAGTCAAGCAAAGAAACATTTACAAAGTATATTCCTTAGAGCATTAGTCTAAGCAAAATTCATAGATGCTACAAAAATAAGTTTTAGAAATGCTGTTTTAATCACCCTTAAGTAGACTTTTAGAAATCATGACTTCTCAGAGATTTTTTTAAATTATGTGTCATTGTCAAAGAAGACTGGAAGACAATGCTTTTCTCTCAATATAGCTAATGTTCCAGAGAATACATTACAGGGAAAGTGACATTAATGGATGTCTAGAACCCATAAAACAGTGGCAAATTAACTATCAAAGTGTCCAGGGAAATATTACTGACAAGATAATCTGTGAAGGAGTGCTGTTAGCAAGGCAGATAGTTGGCCAAAGGTTTTAGACCAAATGGTTCTAGATAGAATATCATATTTGCTGAACCATAACTCTAGTGTCCTGTACATATCTGAAAATTAAATAGCAATTGACTACCTGAATATTTACTCTCTATTTAAGAGCACAAACCCAAGGATGAGCAAAGTTGGCTAAAGTATTTCTACAAACACATTATGGTAGATGGCAAAATTAATATTTAGAATGAGCTCAGAGTTACCAATGACTAAGCGGCATGCAGGGCTTTTAATTGAAAATGGAAGGCTTTCTGCTTGTATTCTTTCATTTAGCCATTGAACAATTCCTTGTTAAGTACCAGGTATTGCCTTGCACATTGCAAAATATAGAGACAAACAAAACTTGGCCTTTGCCTTCAAGGAGGTGCTAGTCTGAGCAGTGATAGAAAGAAGTGTGATGAATGCTGTGGGAGCACAGAGGGAGGGCACAGATGTATCTGGCAATTTTTACTTCTAAAGCTAAATTGTAGATAGCCGTAGGCCTTTCAAACAATTACTCTTGGCTCAAAGTACTAAGTTTATCTGTGGGTTGAAGTTGCACCTAGTTATTTTAACTAAAATATGGACTATAAACACAATTTTGTTTAGGATTGTTTTAATAAGAGTGCCTCTATTTTCATCAAATAGATACAGTAGAACAGTGTTTAATTTAGGATTAAGGTGCATTTATTTCAAAGTTGGTTTATTACTATAATTGTCCATGAATATTAAACAACCACAACTGATGATTAATCTTCATTAAGATATTTCTATTCATTTGGATCATGCTTCTTGGATACAAAAAGCACTAAGATACACACAATAAGTATTTCTTATTTACACATGGCCTTGAAATTTGATCTCAGCAAATATAGAAGAGTAATCAGAGGCTTTTGATTTTCCATAAAAACCATTCCCCTAACCTTTATGAATTGAGAAACCTTGTTGCATTAGGTGACTCTGCTTCTGAAGTTTCATGATATTCAGTACAGAAGTCTGAAACATAGTTGATTTCACAGACAGTTTAATTCTTAAGGCAGAGAACTTTGAATTTACAGAGCGACTGTGTTAAAAATAGGAATATGGGTTATAATTCATGCTTATGTAAGTGAGCATGTACTTTTTCTGCAGCTCCCTTTCCTCATTGCAAAAATACATGTTAACCCCAATACATATTTTACTTCATATTACAACTTAGAGAAAAAAGACTTCTCTGTTTCATTATTCATACCAATGGTGGAAATTTTGAGAATTAAAGGAATTAGAAAGTAAATACTGAAAGGGACTTGAGAATAGATAGGGTGAAGGAAACAAAAGAGATTTCAGCATTATATATAGTATTTTCTTATATTAACAAAAGTCATATGAAAATGATCCCTGCCAATTTTGAATGTCACTGGTTAAGTATTTCTTACATTATTCTTCTACTTTTAAAAGTCAGAATAGAAATCATTACTAACAATTACTATGATGATTTGTTCATTCATTCAACAAATACTTGTGAAGAGCCTACTATGTGACAGATGCTAGCAGTAGAATGGAGAAAACAACAGCCATGATCCTCACCCTAATGGAATTTGTGTTTAGATGCCGAGTGTGAGACACTTGACATCTTCCATGAAGTGTTTAAAAGGACAAAGTGAGGGGAAGGGGCAAAGATAGTTGTGTTTATACTGCAAAGGTGAGGTTGTTACTGATACTGCATCAGTAAGCAGAGGTCAAAGTAAAGTTGGTAAATCATGCACTGTCATGGCCCACACATCTGTAGTCTCAGTGGTGTCTCGTTTTTCCTCTGGTTGCAACTCCACGTTCACATACATTTTTCTTTGATTCCCTCTAGTATATGACTGCTGCTGCTCCTATGCAAGGGACCTACATTCCCCAGTACACGCCTGTGCCTCCGACAGCTGTTTCTATTGAAGTAAGTCTCTTCCTGTCTTAAAAAAAGAGGTTAGGCAAAATAAATCTCAGTCACTTATACTGAGGTCCCCTATAACCCAAGGAATCCTCATGTATAATTTTAGTGCTTCTCCAAAGTATGTAATTGCAAGCTCATTATATGAAAGTATGTACATTTACTCAAACATGCCTAGATTTTTCTATGCACATGAAATGAGCTAGTCTGGTATCAAAGTTTTAGGAGAGGGTTTCATGCTTAGAGAAAAGTCCAGAGAGCAAATAACTACTCCATCTAATGTTAACCACAAATACTCAAACAGGGAGGAAAAAAGTTTGTAGCTATGTGAATGAGCCCTACCTCCCATGCCTTGTTCCTCAAAGTGGGCCCTGAACCATCATCACTAGCATTGCCTGGAGCTTGTTGCAAATGCAGACTTAGATACCACCACTCAGGCCACAGAATTTCCATTTTCATTTTAAGATGATTCCCTCAGTGACCCAGACACATATTAAAATGTGAGATTCTGGACCAGGACCCTAATTCTCAGACTGTTATGAAATTAAAATTGGTTGGGTAGCTTTAAAAAATATTAATGCCTGGGTTCTATCACCAGAGACTCTGATTTGTCTAGAGTATGTACTAGACATTAGGATTTTTAAATGATCTCAGGTGATTCCAATATACATCAAAGCTTGAGAACCTCTGCTCTGGCTGAAGTTGTAGCTCAGGAATAGAGTGCAGACCCAGCATGTACAAGGTCTTGAGCTCCTCCCCAGCATCACAAACATAAAAACACCCCCCCCAACTGCTCTAGTGAATGAACCTTGATAGATTCATGGCTTCCTATGGAGGAGAAATAGTTGGATCACTCGTATTACTGTGGACATGATGAATGATGGTATCATCTTGTTCTTACTAGAAGTTCTGCCATTTCCTTCTCTCTTTCCACTGGAATGGATCCATCCCTTCTAGTCCCAGTTTATGGAGACAGACATCAAACTTTGGAGAAAAGGAGAAGCCATAGAGCTATGCAGATGGTGGTAAAACGCTTAGACTGTATTCTTCTGTATGGTTCTACCCATTTATTTATTGCCTTCTTCCTCCTCTTCTGATGCACATGCACACTAAAGTCACAGTGCATTTCTTCTCTTCAGCTGGACATCCTCTTGAATTGATGTTGTGCTACTCCCTAAGGTGGGCAGCAGCTAGGATTTGTACCATTCCAAATGATAGTCCACCAGTAAAAAGACTGATGGAAACCTAAACTAAACTTTTCAAATGTTTATTTATTTGTTCCTGGGATATATAAAATACTTGCTTGTATCAAAGTATAAGAAAGCCCAAAAGTTTAACCAGGCACTCTTGGGTAGATTAGGAAATCAAGATATCAAAACTGAATCTCTTTTATGTCCTAGATGTATGTGCTCAAAAGGGTGTGCCATCATAAACAGATTTTAATTGGTTTTTCAGAATTTCAATGTATTTTTCTGTATTTCACTATCAAATGTTACCCACAAAATGGAAAAATTAATAATCTCGACATCCCCGGAAGTGTAAGAATAGATCTTTACCACATATTTGCACATCTGCTTGTCTGAACAACAAACATATACTTATCTACAGAACTGGAACACTTCGATGACTACAAAAATAGTGAGACACATTTGGCAGTGTGGTTTATTGGACATAGTCTAGTTATAGTTCAATCTGGAGTGTAGAAAGAGTTTCACTGAGCAAAATATAAATATGCTCTGATATACTGCCTTAAATTTGTGCTTTTAAAAAAGCACTGATTTCATTTTCCATGTAAAAATACTCATTGAATTTTTACCAGTGTCCACACAAATAAGTACTGGTGTGAGGTTCTAAAAACCACATAACAGCAAAAAGTAAATAGGAGTGAAAATAGCTACAGAACTATAGGGAGAGTTTTCAGATTCTAAGGAAGAATTTCAGAGATCTTTAGTTAAGTGACACAGAATTGAGCAAGAGTATCTGAAACTCAATACCACTGCTGCTGTCAAAGATGATACATAAAGCCAGGAGAGATGGCCTCCTTCAGTCTTCTAACAGACAAGTAAAGCCACCTTTGCCACCCTAGGAGCCAAACATAGTCCCCAATGTCCACCAACTCCACAAATTCACTCTTGTTGGCATCTGTAAGAAGCCACCTGAGAGAAGAATGGTGAAGAAAGAGCAAACCAAAATTAAAGACAAGATTTTGTCTTTCTTTTTTATTTTCTGAAACTTCTAAATGAATTCCAGTTCTTGTGTGAAAACCAAAGAAAAATAAAATAAATTACCTAGGGGAAAGCCTACTTCAAACTTAACTTACAAAGGCTAGAGTCCATTGTTTTCCCAAATGATATAGGTGTGGTTCAGTGAACAACCCCAGGAAACTGTTTGAAGACACAGGTATTTATAGGAATCTTGAATTAATTTTTGATTACTAAATGTATATAGCCACAGTTGTTCCAGGTATGGACAAAATGACTTTCTGACAATTTGACTCCTCCACTAACTTCTGATGGCAAAGCCTACTGGTGTTTCATTTGGGTGAATTTCTTAGCCCTTTTGCAAATGTATTCCAATGCTTCCTTTTGAGCATTTATTGTAGTTTTATGTAGCCGAGAGCACCTCTTCTCAAGCCAAATAGAACAGGGGTTTTTAAGGTCCTTCTAGACAAGAGCCCTTCACTAAAGCAAATAAGGTTTTTGTATATGTATTTGCCTCCCTAGGGTGTTGTTGCTGATACCTCTCCCCAGACAGTGACACCTTCGTCCCAGGACACCAGTGCTCAGCAGCAACAGATAGCAGTGGACACATCCAATGAACACGCACCTGCATATTCTTATCAACAGTCTAAGTAAGTTTGGGGTATACTAAGCCCCTTGTTCTCAAGATCTAACACCTTGAAATTACTCTTTCCATGTGTACCTATTAGTTTTGTAGCAGATAAAGTGCCCCAGACTTAATGACAAGTATTTCTTTAGCACATGATCCTGTGGGCCACTTCAGGCTCACTTTTAGGATATTTCTTTCAAACTTGAGTGTTCAAGCCCATGAGTCAGCTTCTCATCATTTGTGCAGCTCTGCTTTGGGGTGGTAGCTGGCTGTTGTTTTGGTGGTGGAAGTGATTGAGTCACATGTTTCTGATCATCAAACAGGCTAATTTATGGGGAAGTCTAAGAATTCTAAGGACAGAAAGAAAGTGAGTCCAAAGACAGAAAACATTTAATTCTGTGTGTGTCTCGTCAGCTAGTGTCACATTGGCTAACACAGGTCACACAGCCAAACAGAGTCAATGTAGATGTTAATGACTACAGAGAGGCATTGCAGTCATCTTTACATATATATTTTTTTCCCTTGGAAAATTCCAGTATTCCCACCTGAAACTGCATAGTGAACCTGCAATGGATTCTCAATCCTCTCCCTCTTAAATGAAGATGGTGACACTCTCCTTACAGGGCTACTTAAATATCAGTTAAATATTTGTGAACAAAGTGTTTTGTAAAATGTAAAAAGTAGATCCTTAAATCATTCATAAAGCAAACTAAATTTGGCTTCATGTTGAGTAAACAGTAAAATGTGAGAGCTTTTATTGAAATGAAAGGAATTATTAGGAAAGTCTACATTCAGATCTTTTTGATACTTTAACTATTCAACTTTGTGAATAACTATAAAACTGGTTAATGGAGAATTCCCAGATGATCCTACTTATAGAGTGTTGCTCCATCTCTTTGCCATCATTTTGCTTGCTAAAGAAAAGTTATTCTGTCATTCTTAAAAGAGTAAAGATGCCAAGAGTGGTAGCATGTGCCTAATCCCAGCACTTAGCAGTAGAGACACGAAGATTGTTAGTTTGAGGCCAGCCTGGGCTTCATAGGAAAGAACAAATAAACAACAAAAAGAAAAGTAAAGAAGACATTATTCATATTAGGAATGGTGGTTCATCCTGTAATTCCAGCTACTTGGGAAGCAAAAGTAGAAGGATCTTGATTTGAGGTCAAACTGGGAAAAGTTAACAGGGGATCTTACCTAAAAACAAACTAACAGCAACAGCAACAGCCAAAGGATTAAAGGCATGGCTTTAGATGACAGAGTGCTTGCCTAGCAAGCACAAGACTCTGAGTTGAATCCCTAGTACTGCAAAAAAATAAGTAAATAAATAAGACATTACTCAGGACTACTGCAATTCATGTCAAGATTATCTCAACAGGACAGAGAGATTGGGCTCAACTCCAGAATATAGAAAAGACCACTGGAGATTATTTATAGCTAATCCAGAGAATGAAGGGGGCAATGAGTGGAAAATGACTAAGAGGAGACAGAGGTATTGGGGATTGTTGTTGAACTAACTTAACAGGATGCTTAGTGAAGGCACATCAGGAAGTGATGAGTCAAAGATGGAGGGTGAGGAAACTCATCAGATCAAGGGTGGAGATTCTGTTCAAACTGACTTAATAAATTTCTTGCCAAAAGGAAGCTATATAGGCCTGGCAAGGATGGGGGATCACAGCCTAGCCTAGTCCAGAGGAGAGCTCAGAGTCATCTTACTGAAACTGGGCCCAGGAGAGTCTTTTACCTCAATACACATTAGATTTGTTTGTTGGTAGATTAATCAAGTTAATGCAGTCATCTAGGGGTGATTTAGCTTCTAAAGTTAGCCTTAAAAATTAAATGTGCTTAGAACATCCCTTAACAATACAAAAGTTAGGTATTTTCATTGCTGCTATTATTAATATCAATAACTTTCAGAAAATATTGTTACTGAGTAAATCAAACTGCTGTTTTCATTCACCTACAATTGGTGTGAATCACTTTCTCATACAGTTTGTCTCTTATACTCTGGTCTAAGCATGTTAGGATTTTTTTCAGTCCAGAAAGTGGGTTAAATGTGAGGAAAGGATCATATGTTGATTATGGCAGAGGAGAGAGACTCTGGGATGGTTAACTATGTCAATTTTATTGAGCAACAGGATGTTCAGATATGTGGTCAAACATTATTAGGGATGTATCTGTGAGGGAGTTTTTGAATAATATTAACATTTGAATCAGTAGAGAACAAAGTGTAGGTGGTCCCCATCCAATCAGTTAAAAGCTGAAATAGAACAAAAAGAGTGACCCTCCCATGAGGAGGAGGGAACATTTCCTGTTTGAATGCTTGAGCTAGAACATCAGTCTTTTCCTACCTTTGAACTTGAAGTGAAACATTGGCTCTACTTGGTCCTCAAGCCTGCCAGCTCCAGGACTGGAATTTATACCATCCACTCTTCCTGGTTTTCAGCTTTCGGATGCAAACTGGAACCACACTAGTGGCTCCCTTGGGTCTCTAGTTTGCTGACTGCAGATCTTGGGAACTAATTCCTTAATTCTTTATAACCTCTCTCTCTCCCCCCTTATTAGGAAAAATGGTGCTCATAAAGAAAACTCACAAGAAAAATCTCATGTCCAAGAGCAAGGTTTAATGGCAGGCTTGAACTGCCAGGCTGGCAGGGGAAAGATGGCACAACACTGACTCTGGGCTAGGTGTGGCTTTTATAGAAGAGAGAGCTTGAGGAAGTTAGCGTGTGCACGGGAGTCTCTGATCGTTGTGGCACAAGCCAGCAATCAACGAGGCAAAGTGAGGCCTGAGGATAAAATGGCCACCGATTCACAAAATGGTGACATTATTACTCTATCATTCCCCCATTTTTTCTTTAATAATGATGAGGGTAGGGGCTGAGGATCAGGAATTGGAGCAAAGCATTGGCCTCTTAGCTGCTTCCTGCTGTCAGGGGGCACTGTATGGGGCAGGATCCTCAGACTCCTGTGGCCATAGTGGCATCCTGGTAGGGACCCTCACAGCAGTCCTCTGGATGGTTTTGGAGAGGTTGCTATCCCTGGAGGTACAATTGGTTAAACTTTTGATTAGCAATAACAGACATGCGGTCTAAGAGAAATCTTTGTACTGTTTTTATGATACAAGGGAGGAAGCTTAAGAATAGGAGAGCAAGAACATAGGCACTAGGATGGGCATTGGCCTGGAGAACCACTGTGAAATGTTCTTCCCTACAGGATTCCAAGAGTCCTCCAACTCCCTTCTCTGTTTTTCTAACTTTCTTGAGAGTGTCTCATTTTATTTTTTACTATCCCCAACTGATTAACATAGAAGCAGCATTCTTCTTGCAAAAACAGGCAGAGACCACCCTTCTCTACAGTGAGCAGGTCAAGGCCTCATCGGTTTTGGAGTAGCATCATTACATGTGCAGCTGTTTTTCTGTCTATAGTAGCCTCTATAATGGACCTAATAGGTCTTATAAGCAAGGGAAGGAAGCAGGGAAGTGTTATGCATGCTCCCAGAATTAGGCTCACTGCCCCACCAGTGTTTTAAATCCACCTATGGCAGAAAATTGAGAGCCAGATGAGGACTAAGAACTTACGTAGGAGTGGAAGGGGGAGCGAGTTTGCAGTCAAATGCTCTACCACTGAGCTATACCCCCGCGCCAGGGGGGGAGCGAGTTTGTGGGAGAGGCATAGCTGTGTGGGGCCCAGCAGTATGCAAGAGTACTCATCCTTTGCTGTATTGTAAGAGTCTGAGGTGTTTTATCCTTGAGAGGTTCTGCCACTGGGGGATCCTGTTGAGCTTGACAGTGGTGGGTGTTGTGAGGATCATTTAGGAGAAAAAGATCCCCTGGTTTAATAGAAATTGTTATAGGGTGGGACATGATCTGTTCTGCATGCTCTCTGAGAAGTTCCCTGAGAAGGTTAAGATAAGGTTGATAGTCAGCCAGAGGTGCAGGGTCTGTTGGAGGCAAGTTTTCTAAGAGAAATGGGCAGCCATACATTATTTAGAGCATTTATTATGTAAGACCCAAATAGAAATATTAGAAGGAGCATAAAAAGGTGTCTGCTAAGAGCTGCATATCTAGGGATCCAGATTCTGCAAAATCTTGTAACTCCCAAGAATGCTCTAAGCTATTTTATGGTATGGGGGAGTGGGAAACAGAGGATTGGGTAGATTCCCTCATGACTCAAGGAGTGAGTCTGTCCCTTTAAGAATACACGTAGGTAGGTGACCTGTGGGAGGCAGGGGCTGACTGTCAGGATTTAGGTTAAGTGTAACACTCTTGGATAAAAGAGAGCTCTAGGTCATTTTTTATATAACTTTGTAAATGTACCATATTTAGATAAAGTATAGACACAACACTGTTACAAGGTGGTCATTTAAGACACAGCGAATATGTAAATGAACTCTGATTTAGTAGTACTTAAAACTTGACAAGATCAGCAGAAAACACAAATAATTTCTTTGATAAAATCTTTCCCTATAATAGTTTTATTGTTCAGAGCAGAACAATATTAATATAAAATATAACCTTGTTATTTTATAGACATAGAGAATTCAATTTTAATTTGACATGACCCAAAAATCTTTTAGGCAACTCTTAGATTATGTCAATTTTAACTTTATCACACACCGAAGCTTTTTAGTATACACTTTTAAAACTTACTCAGACCTTCATACAACATACTAAACCCTTTATGGCTTGTCCTTATCCCTCCTCTCCATATTTGAAACAATATTTAGGACAAACCCTTCTTTACAAAATCCTTTCTCATCCAAAAAAAACCATTCCATTTTCCTTTAACTTCTCAAAAAATACACTCAATACCTATCTATATCCTTTCCAGTTGTTTACTTTGTAACTTGTATTTTAAAATTAACTTTTATAACAATTTTAAATTTATTATAGGGCCTGGAGCAACTAATTAGTAGCCCTTGGTTTTTTTTTAAGGAATTTATGATAGGCGTAAGGCCTCATTGTCCCTCAGGCTTGAGGGGATATTGTTTTTAGGTGTGGAAACTGTGAGGGATTTTTGAGC